ATTAGTCCAGAACAGGAGCAAAGAGCTACTGGGATCTGGGACAGACATAGTCCTCTTCTAGCCTCATTCCTACCAGCCTCTCCTCCTCCTACAGTAACTGAGCAAGCAAGAGTTGTTGTTCCAAGCAAGCAGAGTTGTGAAGGGAAACACACAAAACCTCTGGGATAGTGGAATAAGAATAATATAGCCTCCTCCCCACTTCTCCTAGGAGTTGGGGAATCATGCACCATGTAGCGAAAGAAGAAAAGGGAAATGGGCTACTTTCGCCACACGCTGGTCCAGAAGGAAGCGGCAAAAAGCTGAGCATTTCCTGCCCTATAGTACTCATTGGGATACCTATTAGGCCTGTGCGAAGCAGCTAGTATTCGCTTTGGATTCGGCTGATTCGGGGAACAGTTATTCGATTTGGTGATTCGAATCACTGTCTTGAATCGATTCAGTCAAATCTGATTCGGAGATTGGGCTCCTGATGAATCTCCAAATCAGCCAGGCCCACCCCCTGCCCAGCAACGGCTGCCCTGCCCGCCCCAGCTCCTGGCACTTTGAAGAAGAAAAAAAAAGCCGACACAGTAGGTGCTGCTGGGCACAGGGGCAATCTCCATTGCCCCCCACTACCCCATGCTGCGTGAGGGGGCTCTGCCATGAGCCCCCAGAGAATTGTACACCTCCACAAATACCGCCTTGTTGTGTAAAACCCCCAAACATGGAAATTTCTACTTTAGAAATCTGCAAAAAAAAAAAAAAAAAAAAAAGGAGAATCCCCTGGACTCATGGCTCCTGCTGGAGTGGGGCAATCCCTGCTGCCATGTGCCATGTAGGGGGCTCTGCAGGAGCCCCCCTTAGCCCTGAGGCTGCTGCAGGAGCAGTGAGTCCTGGGACTTTTCTAGTTTGTTTGTTTTTTTTCTTAAAAGGCTGGAGCTGGCCCAGGCAGGGCACCCATGGCAGAGCCTCCCCCATGCAGGGTGGGGCAGCGGGGATCACCCCCCACCCAGCAGCACCTGCTGAGTGGGGCTTTTTTTTAAAGCACCAAGAGCTGGGGTGGGCAGGGGTCAGGGGGTGGGCTGGGGAACCAAGCAGGGGATGGGGTCTGGCAGGGATCTCACCATGGTCCCCTTCCCCCTCCCCCAAGCCCCTCCTGCCCCACCCCTAGTACTTACCAGCTCCAAGTCTGGCTGCAGCTCCCTGCTGTAGCCACCAGGGACTGTCTGAATCATCAAAGCTCTCTGAATCTTTTCTGAAGATTCAGAGAGCTTTGAATCAATTCAGACATTTTAATTGGTCATAGTATCATAGTATCATAATACTTAGGGTTGGAAGGGACCTGAACAGATCATCAGGTCTGACCCCCTACCCCAAGCAGGAGTGGGTGCCAGGATCATATCACCCCATCCAAGTATCTGTCCAGCCTCCTCTTGAAGACTCCCAAGGTAGGAGAGAGCACCACCTCCCTTGGGAGCCCATTCCAGAGCCTGGCAAAGTAACGTCTCCTGATGTCCAGCCTGAACCTTCTCTCTAACAATTTGTGGCCAATATTCCTAGTAACCCCAGGTGGTGCCCAGGCAAACACAGCCTCCCCCAAATCCCGCTGGCGAGTTTATAAACGGCCACCAGATCCTCTCTCAGCCTTCTCTTGTGGAGGCTGAATAGATTCAGGCCCTTTAGCCTCTCTTCATAGGGCCTGCCCTGCTGCCCCCCGACCATGCGAGTGGCCCTTCTCTGGACCCTCTCAATGCTAGCCACATCCCTCTTGAAGTGCGGCACCCAGAACTGGACGCAGTACTCCAACTGTGGCCTGACCAATGCCACTTCGAGGGGAAGGATCCCCTCCCTGGACCTGCTTGTGATGCATCTGTAGATGCACAACAAGGTGCGATTAGCCTTACTGACTGCTTCCTCGCACTGGCGGGTCATGTCTATCCTGGGGTCAACAATGACTCCAAGATCCCTTTCTGCCACCATGTTGACAAGAAGGATGTCCCCCAGCCTATAGGTGTGTTGCTGGTTCCTTCTCCCTAGATGCAGCACCTTGCACTTGTCTGCGTTGAATTCCATCCTATTCTTATCCGCCCACCTCTGTAATTTGTCTAGATCTAGCTGGATTCTGTCCCTCACCTCCAGCGTGCCCACCTTGCCCCACAACTTGGTGTCATCAGCGAATTTGGACAGCGTGCTTTCCACACCCACATCACACTTATGAAGATGTTGAACAGTATACACCCCAGGACTGAGCCCTGGAGGACTCCACTGCCCACATCCCTCCAGGTCAAAAACAATCCGTCCACTACCACTCTCTGGGTGCAACCATCTAGCCAATTTGCCACCCATCTGACTGTGTAGGTATCAATGTCACAGTCACCAAGTTTTTTTAAGAGAATGTGGTGGGAAACCGCGTTGAAGGCCTTCTTAAAGTCCAGGAAGACGACATCCACCCCGACACCCTCATCCAGGGGGTTTGTGACCTGATCATAAAAAGAAACCAGGTTAGTCAGGCAGGAACTGCCCTCAGTGAACCCATGATGGTTGCCCCTGAGCATTACCTCCCCTGCTGGGCCCTTGCAGATGTGCTCCTTGATAATTTTCTCAAAGGTCTTCCCAAGGACCGAGGTAAGACTGACTGACCTATAACTGCCAGGGTCCTCCTTTCTCCCCTTCTTGTAAATGGGGACCATATTGGCCCTTTTCCAACCCTCTGGTACCTGGCCAGTGCCTCATGAGCGCTCATAGAGCTGTGCCAGGGGCCCCGCTATGATCCCCGCCAATTCCCTCAGCACCCTCGAGTGAAGAGCATCTGGGCCTACTGATTTAAGCACGTCCAGCCCCTCCAAAAGTTCCCTAACTAGGCTGTCCCTGACCCTAGGCATGGTGGTGCCTCCCTTGGGTCCATCCGCAATTCTAGTGGCAGAGATGTCCCGGTCCCTGTTCAGGAATATGGAGGCAAAGAATTCGTTAAAGAGGTCAGCTTTTTCGTTTGCCACAATCACCAGATTGCCAAACTTATCCTGTAGGGGCCCCATGTTACCCGTTGCCACCTTCTTACTTCCTCTGTATTTGAAAAAGGCCTTTTTATTATCCTTAAATCTGGTCGCTCCATCTCTTCCTTGGCCTTCCTAACAGCATCCCTACAGTCCTGAGCAAGAGGTGTAATCCTCCTTGGTGATAGCCCCTTGCTTCCACTGTTTGTATCCCAGTGGTCCCCCGATTTGGTTTGGCCACCGAATCTCCTCCAAAGCGAATCACCACCAGAAGCTTCGCACAGCCCTACTACATATCAGGTCCACCAGAAAGAGAACCTAACTTGATTCACTTCATTTGGAGGACTTTTTCTAAAACTTCCTTATTTTATTTGTACGGAGGCAAAAATGTATCAACTTTCGAAGTAATGTGCCAGGTCTCTCTCTCTCCTCCAGACTTGATCATGATCGATAACTGAGTGGATATGTACTGTATTTGAGGGGTTTAGCTTTTATTTGACTTGTCTGAAGTTAATATGTAACACCTATTGTGAATCTACCAAATGACCAAATCTTTTAAGAATATCTGCTTCCACTTCAAAGATATTTTTAGAAATAAAGGCTGAAAAGTCAGTCTTAAAACACAAACTTTAAAAATAGGGTACTTCTCTGACAAGTATCTTAGATCCTGCTGCATAATTTTATTGCAATATTGTGAATTCATTTAGAGTACAATTAATCTTATATGGTTTTCCTTTTAATTAATTTAAAGTATATCATACATTCCATGAATCTGACTCTAGTGCTCAAATATGACCTGGAAATAGTACCCTTCATCATCGAAATAAAATTTCAAAATCTGGCAAAGTAAATTTAAACCACTGGATTACTGGTTCTCAACATGAGGCTTGTGGATAAAGTCTCTTGAAGTCACAAGCACCTTACTCTTCCTATTTTATCAAATACAAGATAAAGTCCTGGCATAACAGACATTGAGAACCAAAAGAATCATATATATTAAAACTCTCTATATAACGATAGATTTGAATAGGGATAAAAACATTGTCTGAAAAGTATTAAAAAGTTCAGAAAATTGTACATTTCAAATATGTTTAAAGTTCTCTTGTTGAATGACAAAGCTTTTTAAGAGCTAGAGAAACAATGCAAAAAGAGCACCATGGGGCAAGAAAAAAAGTATTGTTTCTTTATGGAGTATTTGCAGCTGACACTGCTATGCTTTTAACCAATAAAAGTAAGGCTAATTTGCTACATCAACTTTCAGTATGATACTACTCCACAGAACATTACTACAACAGCAGCAGCTTTGTAACTGCAATAATTAGACAAACTAATAACTGACGTAAATCAGAAAATTAAATTATCTTATGGCATAAAATGAAATGAAAACCAAGTTCTTATTTCTCTGCAGGACTGTTACATTTCTAGTACTGTAGTTACTGTCAGAGTTGCAACAGGCTTACTAGAAAAGATGTTTACATCTTTACTATTTGATGTTATAAGTGTATGATTGCTGACATCCTTAAAAGAGACAAACTAATAAAATTCAATATTAAATGGGAAAATGTTAAATAAACCAGAAGTGTGCAAGAAAAGGAAGGTGAAGGATTTATGTAAAAAAAGTACTTTTAAATGTACTTAAACCAAGACTAGAAAGTGTTCTCTCTGCATTTAACATTGGAAGCCACAAAAATTTAAGATGCTGAGAACCCTCAATGACTATGTGTCGAGTTATGAAGAATCCCCAACCTGCGTAATTTCCCAATGCCTAGACCTCCCAGTGCTGAACAGACCCTGGACCGATTCCCTTGTATGAAATCAGGACGCATGCTTGTAAAGAGAGTGAAAGCATCTCCTTTGCCACCGCAGAGCTTTTCCAAGTGTTCTTGTTCATTTCTCACTTTGACAGGACGTTTAGTAAAATTATCTGCGTGATATTACAAGCTTAGTTATTTTGTTTTAATAGTTGTTTTAGGAGACCAGCTAGATTTTACATCCTTGTGGCTCAACTTCAATCAGCAGCCAACTTACATCTGGGCGCACTACTCCAGTTGACATGATTTAGATTTACGTATGACAGCCTGCAGCATCACGTGGACACTCCACATTAGCAGCGTTGTTGTGTTTGCAGTGGGCCTTGGGATTGTATCAGTGACACGTGGCTTGTGGAAACTGAGGTCTGAGTCAACTGTTGAAAAGGCATCAAGTATGTACCCCGAGGGTGAAACTTCCCTTCTCGGGACACCTCCCTGCCTGACAGAGGCAGCGAGCTCTGCCTGAGGAAGGGCTGGGTTGGCTTTTGCAGACAAGCCTGAAGTTCACACCCCCGAGCTGCGATGGGTGCGAGGCCAGGAGGGAGCCAAGCTCCTGCCTTGCCCAGGGCCGCCCGCGGGCTCAGCCTCCTCCCGGATGCGCTCAGCGACCCCAGGTGCTGGGACTCCGCTCCGGCGTCAGGCAGACGAGGACGAGGGTTGTCCGAGGGGCGGGCGGCCTGCTCAGCTCAGCACAGCGCAGCGCAGCCCATCCGGCCCTGCCCCCGCTCGCAGCTGCACAGGGGCC